AATATAGGGATTTAAGGAGCTTAAGTTAAGTTACTACATGGAAACCCAAAAAGGGCCCAACAAAGACTACAGTCCTTCTAAAATGGTATTACATGGGTTTCCATGTTAGTTTGGGGGAGTGTATCTGGAACAAGTCAATATGTTGCGTTCTAGAGCTGGTGGGGGATTGGTCTTATGTTGGCAATTTTCCGGTTCGTTTGTGTAGGGGGGGGATCCCATCTGTAAGTTGGAGTTCCGCGCTTGAGGCACAGCCATATCTTACGCCAAGATCGGTTCTGAGACAGCCTCAAAATGGCAAGGTTCAAGCCGTCAATCCCAAACCTAGACCTGGGGCTTAAGATCAGGGCTTAGGCTTGCATTTCTGAGGGCAAGGACTTTGGGGTGAGGCTGCGGATTTTGAGTGTAGGGTTCTGGATTGAACCATCATGACAGCTCATGTTGGGACACAGGGCCTCCAAATTCCCAAGAGGTCCCTCCTTGCGCTACATAGTGTAGCTCCCAATTAATTATGTCGATTCTCGACCCACTTGAGGGGTCCTTATCAGAGAAGGTCGTATAAGAATCTTGCGTCCAGGAAAGCCGTATGCCAGTTCCCACGTACACCCTGAACCCTAAGCCCTAAACCCTAAGCCTAAACCTAAACCGTAAAGCAGCCCTCACAATCTGGCCTGGAAACCGTAACACAGAGGGACAAACTTTGAACCTAAACCTCAAAGATAAGTAGAAACCATGAACCTAAACCTCGAAGATAAGTAGAAACTATAAACCTAAACCTCGAAGATAAGAAGTAGAAACTATGAACCTAAACCTCGAAGATTCTTAGATCCCAGTCTGACTGACTTTGTTGAACAAATTGCTCTGTGCTTGGTGCATACAGCTTCACCTGCTGTTTCTGGACATGTAAAGCCGACATAGGATGCGCAGGCCACCCTTTTACAAGTTTGTTCTTGATGACCTGGTCAAGGTAAATTCTGCAGCGAAGTCGGAAGAGTGAGTGCACATGCCAGTACTAAACCCTAATCCCTGAACCCTAAACCCCATCCAGCTCCCCTAAAGACAATCCAGCTTCCATTTAGTTGTCATTTCGCAAGGGCGCATTTCGAACATCACAGGGACAGGCCTTCAGCATGAAGGGATGAGCCAAGCCCGAACCAAAGAAGAAGGAAGCTCTGGTGATTAATAGGTAATAAGGGAGCCTGTTATATAGGGATTGTATAGGGATTATATACCCTTACTCCCTACTAACCCCTAGTAAGCTTTTGCAAGTGAAGGTCATCTGGGCGGCTGTGATTGGTAACGTCTGCGCCTTCAGTGCCTACAGCTACCTGCAGATCCTGGACAAGGCTCCTTGTTTAGGGTTTAGGGTTTAGGGTAATGGTTTAGGCGAAGCTTCCTGGCTGTTAGTATGGAATAAGGGAATATATTAGGGTTATATAGGGATAATGGAAAAATGGACACTACTACATTAAAGTAGGGTATTGAGATCGTATTGAGGGAGGAAGTGTGGGCATCAGGACTCCAATAAGGAGGGGCACGAGGCGTTGAAGAGGGGGCAGTTTTTGCCTCTTGAATCAAGTTCGATCCTCGCTGACACTCTCAGGCCAGTGACCAGTGTGAAAATGAGTCGAGGTGCACAAATTCTGCAACTATTGAAGCCGCATCCCACAATCTCTGTTTCCAAAATGTTCAGCATAAAAGATTAGGCAAGTTGCTGCCTTGCGTTGACTCTCAGCCCTGTAAGCAGATGCGTCCAACAGGGGGACAGAACACCATTTGGCTGCCAACCAACTCGGGCTCAAGTTTGCCGCGTTCAGGTCAGGGTTTGTAGTTATCGGGATCTGGGCTTTAGGGTTCGCGGGAAGGGTGCAGAGACTTCGGGCTGCACGATCAAGCTAAACCTTCGTCTTCTGCTTCTTCTTATGCTGTTGCTGATGCAAGTGCAAATCAGGTAGCTGGAAAATGCACAACTCACACCGGCCAAAGCATTGGCAAGTTGCAAAGTTGATTTTGAGCACGCACACATAGACATGCTTGCGACCTTCAATGCAACCTGCATCGCCGATGTACGGGCTGCTTCATGCATGCCTGCCCAAAGAGGCGCCCCATATTCCTGCAGAAGGCGCCGGAACCACCAGAGGGATGCAGACTAGAAGAACCTGGTACCAAAACTCCATCAGCAAGGCTCGCCTCTGCCTCGTGGTAGCTTCATATGGAATGGGGTGCCGGCATACCGTGAATCTAGGCCGCCGGGCCTTGCTGAAGAGCTCGAGACGCATGACCAAAGACCAGCTTCTCAAGCGTCTGCAAGACCATGCTGTGGCCAAGGGCGGCTTTTGCCGGACAGATTCCTATACCAACAGCACGACCAAGGTTCCGTGGGAGTGCGAGCATGGCCACACATGGCATGCTCGTCCCCACGACGTACTGCATAAAAAGACCTGGTGCCCGCAGTGCGCCCTTGACAAACAGAGGAAGACTCTGGAGCAACTGCAGGACCACGCGAGGAAGCCGGGCGGCATGCTCCTGTCTACGAAGTACACTAACAGCAAGGCCAAGTATCGCTGGCAGTGCAAGTTGGGACACACCTGGGAAGCCCGCGCTGACAACGTTCTGAACCATGACACCTGGTGCCCTGAATGCGGGCAAAAGCAGAAAGTGTCCACCAGGCGAAGCTTGCAGGACTTGCAGGAGCATGCAGCTTCCCGCGGAGGCCGCTGCTTAGCAACTGAATACTGCGGTATGGTGAGGAAGGTGCAGTGGGAGTGCAATAAGGGCCACAGGTGGCATGCAGCTCCCCGCAACGTGCTGAGTGGCAACACCTGGTGTCCTGTCTGTGCGCAGCGCGCTCCCATCGGCTTGGAGCGGCTGAGGGAGCATGCGGCGCAGCGAGGCGGAGAGTGCCTGGCGACTGAGTATGTGAACAACCACAGCAAGGTGCCGTGGAAGTGCAAGCTTGGACACGTCTGGGAGGCAACAGCCGACAGCGTGATGGGCTTGGGTTCTTGGTGCCCGCACTGCAGGAAGATTGGGCTTGCGCGCCTCCAGGCCCACGCCGCATCGCTGGGTGGAAGGTGCCTTGCAAAGTCGTACAAGAACTGCTTCACCAAGCTTCTCTGGGAGTGCCCGGAGGGACACCGATGGAAGGCAACGCCTGACAACGTGATTAACGGCAAAACTTGGTGCCCAACTTGCGCAAACAGCATGTGGAGGACAGAGGCAGAGATCCGCGACATCCTCGAGTCCATCTTCTGCCCTTCCAAGTTCGACTCCTGCTATCCGCAGTTTCTGGCGGGCTTGCAGCTGGATGGGTACTGCTCCCAGCTGTCGCTGGCATTCGAGTACCAGGGTGAGCAGCACTATGATCCAGAAAGCTATTTCCACTTCGGTGACATCTCCAGCTTCGCGGCCCAGCAGGAGCGAGATATCAGAAAGCGAGAGCTGTGCCAGGCAGCCGGAGTGCGACTAGTGCTCGTTCCATTTTTTGCAAATGACAAGCGGACGTTTGTGGTGACTGCCCTGTTGCAGTGGTTCTCCATTGAGGAGATCGCTCCTATCGTGCTGTCCATGCACAGTACTTGCCGTGAAGCGGGTTGAGGGTCTCTGACGAAGCAAGCTTCGGTCGAAGCCGTCAGGCTTCGCGAGCGAAGGGTTCGCGGTATCCAGCCACCTGTTTCCTGCATCTCGCAATGTATTGAGTAGTTGTCCGGAACATGAGGCTTTGGGTGAAAAGCGAAATGACGTTGCCCCTGGCTGTCTGTAAGTTCAGGAATGCAGTGGGTTCGGTGTAGGGGTTATCACCTTCATAAGACCATCCTCCCAGCATAGAATCACTAGAGATAGCCAAAGGGCAGGTGATGTCAAGGAAGAGGTTTTTGATTCACGATGCCTCGCTGCATCGGGGCAGGGCAAATGCAAATGACCGAATGCAATGGGATGCGGTGGGTAGTTGGCCATGACAAAGCTGTTGCTGGCTTGGATTTGGCTTGAGCTTTCCGAGCTGGTGACCTCTTTAAGTTCGTGTGTTGCAGACACTGCACTTGTGGGCTTGCACAGGGTTGTGCCAGAATTTGTTCCGCACAAGAACTCCAACCAGGTTCGCATGCTTACAGGGTGGGCCTCTGCCGGCCTGTACAGGTTTATAGCCCGTCCTGGCAGAACGTCACATCAGATGCATCCTTATGATTCAGTTTGGTCAACAGTATCAGTAGCATAGGCCTTCACGCTTATCATGACTATGGCTAGTACTCTAGTGCTTATTCCTACCTTGTCTTGCAATGAGTAGGGCCCCAAAAGGCATGCACACATGGGGCATCTTTCCTGCGGGCTGCAAGGTCCTATGCATCTTAGTAGGGAATAAAGGAAGATAATCCCCATAGAATATATTCGGAACTCCCCTAGCCAATCTTGCTTGGAGTTTGGGGTCGTGGAGATGTTGCCGAACTTCTGCAACCTTAGTAGTCGATCCCAAATTTGGGGACTCTGAATTACCTACTTGTGCAAAATGCGTATAAACAGGTTGCTTGTCGGGCCTTCTCCTAACTCTGGGGCCCCTCGAATACCTGCTGGTGGTTAGTAGGGAATGCGGCAATGTATTCTATCGGGCTTGTATTCCCTTATCCTTACTTACTGCCAGTAAGAACAGGCAGTCCCGCCTGGCCACCCTGTTCACCCTTTAGCTACCTAGCCTTGACGGCCATAAGAGAGCCAGTCTGTTCATGTTTCTAATGCCCCCTGTTTATCTTCCTCTGCTGTAGGATGATCTTCTGAAGCACGCGCTGAAACCTTAACAACACGCTACATCCTTGAGCGCTGACTCCGCTGCAGGAGAAGGCCAAGACTGCGGCGCTGCCCGAGGAGAAGGCTGCGCATCAAACGGATGAGTATAACCGTTACTGGTAGTTGTCGTACAGGTGCTCTACTGCTGCAGCTGCTGCTGCTGCTGCTGCTGCTGCTCTGCTACTGCTCCTCCCACTGCTACTGCTCCTCCCACTGCTACTGCCACTGCCACTGCTGCCACCGTTGCTACCACCAATGCCACCGCCGCCACCGCCGCCGCCCTCACCGCTGCCGCCGCTACAGCCGCCGCCACCATCACCACCACCATCTCCTCTCGTACTACTGCTACTGTCACTCCTACCACTTTTTTGTACTGAACAGGTAGGGGGGGTATTTGTAGGAGCACCTTTTGATGGCGGAGAATGCCTTGCACCACCTTGTATTCTACCCCACACGCACGTCGTGTGATACTTGAGGTGTCTTGTTTTCAGGATATTGTTTATAAGCCGCTGGAATCACACAGACAAGCAGAGTAGGATTTAAGGCTTATTCCTCGTCTAAACGCAGAGCTCTAGACATTCAAAGGGTTTAGTGCTAACTTTGCTTATTCCTTTTGTCAGTTGTATGGTTGAGATTAGACAGTACACTAGCCCCTGAAACTTTTTTTCTCTCGCGGTGGGGCCTGCATGGAAATCTGTGAGCTCAGGTGGGCTTCACGTCGGACAAGGAAGTCGAGGCGGGGTTGTATGGGATTTTTTGGTCAAATGTGGATAGTAGCGAAATAGTGGAGAATCAAATGGAACAATGGAAATTGAGAGATGGAAAGTGAGATTCCTTCGTGGTTTCTAGGGATTGAGGTTCCCTAAACTTCAAGGTGCCGGTCCCATGTTCAGGTTTATAGTGTATATAAACTGTAGTATTTTGGAGTCTATTTTTGGGCCCTCATTTGTAGAAACTACCAAATAGGGACCTTCTACAGAACCGAGTGTGTACCCCTTGTATCAGGACTCCCTAGAACCCTAAATCAAAGAGGGAGGCTAGGGGTTGCCTTGGGATAAACCTTTACGCCTCAACCATTGCTCATATGAGATATAGTCTAAACTCCTTAAAGGGGGGTTATATAGGTGATTATATAGGGGATTATATAGAGAAGTGTTATAGGGGTTATCAAGGGGGATACTAGGAGTTTAGATTATAGCTCATATGAACCCCTTGTAGCCCTCTGACAACTGCAGTATAATATGCCCCAAAACTCTTTTGAAGTTTGAGGGCCTCTACAGTAGTGTATTTGTCGGAATCCGAGCGAGGACTGGATGGCGCCTCAACACCTGAACAATGAGAATAGGCTTTTGGGGTAGACTACAGAGCCGGGCCTTTTTAAAGGCTTGCTAAGTGCATAGTGCTTGTACATTGGGTACTGCCCCCCCTCAGTAACTGTTGGATAAGAACTATAATATGGTTATATATAGCCCTCAATAGGACCCCTAATATAAACTGTTACTGGGTGGGGGCAGTACCCAACTTGTACCTATTTAGGCTTCAAAGCTGCACCCACAGGAATGGACGAGTGATAGCTCCACTGCTCCTTGGGTGCAAAGGGGCTCCAGCTTGTTGACGGTGGAGTCCACGATATGGTGTGTAGCATTTCAAAGTGTTAGCTGTGGGCCCTTTTGGGGTGTTCTGAACTGATTATCTTGGTTTTGTTGGGTTCCGTCATGGGCATAGAGCATGTGGCTCATTTGGACGAGGGTTTCAAATTTCTCGAAACAGTTCTTTCCTTCGCATCAAGGGTCCGAACATGTTGCAACCATTTGATGGCACCTCACTTTGCTGGAAAATGCGGCTCTGCACTAGATTTGGCGGTCACTTGTTGGCATCAAAGTGCGAAGGGTTCACAATGGCTGGGTTGTGGTACAGACTTTGCCATTTGGGGCTTAAGGCTTAAGGTTTAGATCATACAGGTGAGCGGCCACCTCAGATAGCAGCTACAGTCACTCAACACATCTCAACACTGAACGTGGTTCAGGGTTTAGAATTGAACTTCAGCATGCTTGGCCTTAAGCCGCTGCTGTCAATATTTGGTTCGGGATATAGGGGAATGTAGAAGAAATAGAAACTAGTATAAACTCATGTTTAGGGACAATCTAGGGATATGTATATATATATATGTACATATCTTTTCATTAAATCTATTGAGGAGCAAGGGATATGGGGGTAATGGAAACGAACATGGAAATTACTACATAATGGAGAATCACATGGAAAGAACATGATGGAAACTGGATCCGAAATCCCATAGCAGGCAATGTCCTAACAATTCGGAGGCATTTCCCTGCTTCTGAAGTGCCCGGACCTTCTCGAGGATGCAACAGACAGGGCCCAAAATCAAGCCAACAATCCATTGATGTGCATTATTCATACCAGGAATAATGATATGTTATCATGAAAACAAAGATTGTACGAAAAAGTGGTTTTTGTCCAGTACGGAATCAGGGCTTAGAGCAGTTTGGGTCATTGTTTGAATGCAGTTCCAGTAATGAGGCATGCGAATCGAGTTCTTTACAGCAATACTAACCCACTAGAGACCAGTAGTGGTCTTGAGGGGACCTGCAAATCTTAAATGGGCACTGTTACCTCCGGGCTTTGGGGCAAGTCTTTCCATCTCTGCTAGTCGTGAACCAAAGCCCAAGCCCCACAACCACGGAGCCAAGCACCTTCCCTGAGTTTTTCTAAAATTAGGGTTTAGGGTTTAGGTTTAGGGTAATCGCAACCCCCACATTAGGACTCGAGTATAGTCAGGTGTGAGTTTTAGGGTCCGGTTTTTGACATCGGTCGAAGGGTTTAGAGTTGAAGAGTTTGGGGCTTAAGGTTCAAGAGTTTAGGGTTAGGGTTTAGAGGTTTAACGGTTCAGGGTTTTGGGGTTAGGGTTTAGGGTTGGATTGCGGCTACCACAATGCTCTCATTAACCGCTTTAAAGAAAAATCCGAGAGACAAAAACAGCCTGAGCAATACTTCAGCACAATGTCACTTCGCGGCATCAGTGGAGTAGTTTTGAAAATTTGCGGAGATTAAAGACCCCAACATAAAGAGATTATATCCTCCTTTGGCAAAAAGCAACCCTAAACCCGAAAAGAATCTACTCAGTTGTGGGCCGTTTACCGCTTGGAAGGCTGGTGCGGGGAGAGGGGAAGGCATTAGGTCGATACCGCTTCGGCTATATGTGGGGTATATGTCTTGAAGAGGGCTGCTACATCCCAAACAGAGGGTTTAGGGGTTTGGGGGTGTAGGATTTAGGGGACCAAAGCCCTAGACATGGTTTAAGGCTTTAGGGTTTAGGGCTCAGGGCCGGTTTTTTAATGTTGAAGTTGGTTACTGCCCCACCTCAGTAACAGTTCGAGATACGATAAGGCTATATAGCCCTTAATAGGACCCCTAATATAGACTGTTACTGGGTAGGGGCAGTACCCACTGTAGAAGCCTTACAAATTGCTGAGGTTACCTGCAACCCTTATCTAGCCATCCTGGAATATGCTCCCCCCCCCAACAAAAAGATCTAGGACTCTACACTACAAATTCCTATAAACCCTTGTATGTAAAAAGGCAGCCTCCATCTAATTTTCCGCTGTCGTTTCAATCTTGTTCTCTGTTAGTCTCATCAAGGAGCCTTAAGACCTGCACCCCAAGCCCTAAGATTCAAGCCCTAAACCCTACACAGGACCCCTCAACTAGATAGAATATGAGGCATATGGGGATCCCATTATAATATACTCAAAGCCCTATTCTATCTACATAAGGGGACTATAAATCCAATTATACCC